GGAAGGATGGAAGGCTGAGTCAACCTTGAGCCGGTGAGATTTGAACCGCCGAACTGCAGATAACAGTCAGCTGAAGTGGCCTGCAATACTGCACCGTAACCACTGCGCCACCTTGGCTCTTTCTGGACCATGGCTTGGCACCTTTGGGATACCGCTAGGTCGGTGAGCAACGCTCTGCCTGGCCGGAAGGGGGGGTCTTGTCCAGGGGGCTAATTTTCGGGGGAGAGCGTATATTTTTGCCCACCCGAAAAATGTGGCATGGCCTTATTTTTGGGACGTCATATTTTCAGGAAAACACGGTATTTTATAACACTTTGTGACCTAATAAAATGTATTCTGGTGGAGGGGCAGTGAACCCATCTATCTCTTCTCTTCTAATCTTATTTTCCCTCCAGGAATGGAGAGGAAGCGAAGAGATGCTTGGTTTGAATAGAATAGAATAACAAGAGCTGGAAGGGACCTTGGAGGTCTTCTAGTCCATTTGATTCCAACTCCATGAACGAAGAGACAGTTCCCTGCGTTTCTTGGACAAGAAGGCAAAAAGATTGAATCAAGCCCTTTATTTTATTTTTTTAAATAATCTTTATTGGTTATACATTGTTTTTTAATAAGGCATACAAATACAGCTTTAAACATACAAACCCTCCCCCACCCCTCCAGTGACAGTTTTTTATTGAAGGCATTGGGCTCCTCTGAACTGAATGCATCTTTGGAAGGAGACGAGGATGGAAAGAGATTTCAATCACAATATAATAATAAAAAAAAATCTAGGGAAAGTCTAAAGAAAAGAAAAAGTTATGGGTGAGAAGAACCCACCCTCAACATTTCCAAATCCAAGGAGGACCCCAGGCAATTATACAAAAATAAAATAAAAAAATAAACATTCAAACATTCAATTCTAGATGGACCATTTCTCTGTCCGAGCTTCCAATGTTTTGACCAAGCCTTCCCCCAAGATCTTGAAGTCTTCCAAAATAGCCTCCACATTTGGAACTACCGTTGGTTGAGAACTTACTCTGGATATCATCCTTCCATTAATGTTGGATACCTGGTAGGAATTAAGAGAAGTACGTTAAATGATGATGGTCAATAATCGATCAAATGTTTACACGTCGGGTCCTTGGTGCTGGCTGAGCTTCTGTCCTTGGTGCTTTCAGAGTCTGTTGCATAAATTCAAATCCAGAAAGCACACACGGATAATAACGTAATGCCTTGGGAAGGCCACACTTGGAATACTGCACTCAGTTTGGGTCGCCCACAATGTGAAAAAGATGTGGAGACTCTGGAAAGAGTGCAGAGAAGAGAAACAAAGAGGATTAGGGGACTAAAACAGATGAAGAACGGTTGCAGGAATTGGGAAGAGGATTTGATGATGGAGATGTTATGTACTGTTGTAATTGTATTACTATATAGTTTATATTATTAATTTTATTGCGATGAATAGAACAACAAATATGGGGATTGTCACTGTTCAAATAACGATGCCCAGATCACACACAGTTTGTTGGAAATGGAAAGTAATATAAAAAAAACAAATAAAACATTGGGGGGGGGGGGGAGAAATTACCGTATATCCTTGCAGATAAACTTATCCACAGATGTAGCCGATCGCAATTTTGGAGGTATATTTTAGCACCTAACATTTTTGGCTTATCTTCAAGTAATTATGAGGTAGGTTTTTAATATGGATACACAACAATTTCTTTTTTCTTTTTTTTACAAAATGAAGGAATTCTCACGAGAACGACAAACTTCCCCAAGAGTTGGTTAAAAATTAAAATGTTGTTTACCAACAGTAGAACCTCAAGAGTTGAGCTCTCACCTTGAAGGGCTGGGGTTCAAAGGCCGAGGGCTTCCAGAGGACCCCAATAACGTCTCCCCCATATTTGTCGTAGAAGAACAGGGCGAAGTCACCGAAGGCTTCCTGCAATGAGAAAGGG